CCCGTTACAGCGTCAACATCAACAATTCGTCAACGCACCGCAATCCTTCGTTCCGCATTGTGCTGACTTCGGCCGAGGACCAGCAGCCTGCAGAGAGTGTCGGGAATGCCCGAGTTTCGTTGCCTGATCCGGAGGAAGCTGATGGTTTATTCAGCTGCCTGGGACAGCTTTGCGATACTGCTAAGCGAGCCCTAGGATCATTCTTACGGAGGTGTGCCGACCGGCGAGGCAATTTGAAATTGCCAGTTGTGCCAGCCGCCGTATCGTGTTCAATCCAGCCCTTACGTTTCCAAATAGGGTATGTCGCTTAACGCTTTTGGACTCTTACATAATACTATCACAATTATGGTAATATCTTCCCATCTATGATCCAGCCTTGCCCGGCGCTCTGGGATTGCTGGAGATGAACACGATACGTGCGGGTGGTTTAGGAGCCTGGTCTGAGGGCGCCTCAGGCCGGAATAATTTTGGCGACATCCGTTCGGAGCGACAAACCAAGGTCGGAATATTTGTCGACAAAAGGATCGAACCATCGAGGGCCCGGAGAGGAACAGCCCAGATATAGCCATTAATTCCCACGATGCCGGAATAGAGGGCGGACGAAATGGGCGCCGCAGGCCCGGTGTCGGAATATTTGCCGACAAAAACGTGCCGATGGAAGCAGAAAATTGCCGACAATACGACTCATTTTGGTCAGCGAATATTCCAACCTTTAACTGTATTAACGGGGGTCCTCCTGCAACGCGGAGATCAGCTGGCCACGGTCTCGTCAGAGTATCGTTCAATTTGCAAACGTACTGACCCGTGCTAACGTTCTCGGGATGTTGCGTCTTCGCCATGCTCCATATTGTCGCGCGTGCTGTACTGTCCCGTTGTTACCCAGCCGCGGGGAACTCGCTCGATCCGCTTGCCACTGCCTACGTTTTTCGCAAGGTTGAAGAGTATGAGGGAGCATAGGGACCTCAGAGCGGGAAACCTCGCGATCTCCCGTCGATTTCTCTCGGACGCGGTAGCGATGGATCTTTGTCAGCGGTTTGCCGCAAGGCGTTCGTCATCCACCTCAGAGGCCGGCACCGTGAACCGAATCTCTTACACGATCGACGACTCTTGCGTACACTGCTTGCTGTTCTGTCTCCCTTAAGTTGAGCAAGCCGGCGTCTGCTGCGCTGGGCACATCCCTGCGATCTCAAGGCGCGTTTCAATCACCGATCTCTGGACTCGTGCCATGATTAATCTCACTGCTAGCTTGCTCCAGCAACGTGCCATAGGTGTGGAGACAGTGTTGCACGGACGAACCATGTTACAGTTTTTTCGCCGTGGATTGGCAAGCGTGAGGGAAGTGCCGGCCCATGAGGTGCAGCATACATCTCTTACTCGTCGCCCGACCTTCTTACGGAAATACGATAGACGTTTATCACTGCAACGCATGCATGTTTGCCACCAAGAGACACACCGCATCTAATGCCCACCCATATCGTCTCAACGCAAGCGACGGAAGGACGGGCCGAAATCGACGGATTCGCCGGTATACGGCGCGATAGTAAGTATCCACTCGTATCGCCTTCGGCACATCAGGCAAGTCAGGCCGTTCTTCGTCACCGCCAGACGTCAGAGTCTCCCCTGGGAAGAGGACGGCCATTAATCGTCAGCCTTCACGAGCTCAGGCACTCGACGCGACTGCTGGTTCACCTCTCTGCTGCCGCATAGGCATCTGAGCGATACGCTCAGTTGTGTAGGGAAATGGGTCGGGGGTGCTAGAGTCGCATAACCTGGATAGTCGTGATGCGTATAACTGATGCCGTTCTCGACATCGTCGACGTGATTGGTGTTCATTGACCTCTCCCATCGAAACACCTTTCTGACTGCGTTGTGTGTAGACGATACATCAAGTAGCAACCTGTACTAAAAAAACAGTAACAGCGACCCATACCGAGTTGCAGTATGGTTCCCACATCTTCGAACACTTGGGCGTCGACTGAGACATGACGAGCATGCAATGACTCGGAGTCTTGTTGGAGGGAAATAACTGTGTTGATCCTTACATCATTGATTAGAATGTGGGCAGTATGGTTATGACTTACCACGGGGACACCCTTCAAGCGTGCGGCACAGCGACTTGACCCACTTCCGCATCCCATATCATCACCCGACTATCCCCACCGGAGACGACGAGGCTGTCGTTCAGAAACGCGACACAGTTGACGTCGCCCTTGTGTTCTGTCAATGGCCCTAACACCGTCCGTCCAGTGTGAACGTCCCATACACGAATCGTGCCATCTTCTGAGCCAGACACGATGTGCCTTCCGTTTGGCGAGAATGCCACGGATTGAATCCTATCTGTGTGCCCCCGCATGGGGCCCAATAGCGCGCAGCTCTTCCCTGCATCCCAAATCCGAATCGTGCTGTCCGCCGAACCTGAAACGATATGTTTGCCGTCGGCCGACCATGCAACCGCAAACACGGAGAAATCGTGGGCGCCCAGTACGACCCCAGTGGCCGACCATTCTGTCTGTACTTTTCGCGATATGCGGATCTCACCGCCAAAATATCCGGTCACGATCCGCTCTCCATCAGGTGAGAATGCGACGGAGTAAGCTGGTTTGGGGTCGTCGAGGGGAACACCGACCTGCACTGCCTTTCTGGAAGATACGTCCCAAAGACGCACGGTCCCGTCCTCCGATCCTGAGGCGACGTAGTGTCCATCCGGCGAGAAGGTCACACACCAAACGTAGGATTCTCCTGCTGACATGGGATCCGCGATCTGTTGACCGGTCTTCACATCCCACAGCCGAACGGTGCCGTCCATCGAGCATGACGCCAACTGCGCTCCATCACGGGAAAATGCGATCCCTGTGATCGATTTCTTATGGCCGTCGAGAGCGTGATTGAGAACCTTCTCTCCTGTTTTCGCGTTCCAAATCTGTATAGTCTTGTCTCGGGAACCTGATGCGACCCTCGAACCGTCCAAGGAGGAGGCAACACAAAGAACGTCGTCGTGATGACCCGCAAGAGGTTCTAGCACCAATCCTATACATTTGTACGTCAATGTTGGTGGCTGCATTCGGGGCTCGTGGTTTCGCTCACCATTGCAGAACACGTGCAGGTACTGGTTCAGGGCTGGCCCAATTTCTGGATGCGTCTTAAATTTGGGGAAGTAACCTTCGGGCAAAAGAGCTTCCAGCTTAGCTCTTGAATATGTCAAATCGTTTGAAGGGGGCGAGCTAAATCCACCGAGTACCATAACACAGGCAGTGACTCGATCAACGCGTTGCTCGTCCGGTGTCTTCTTAATGAATTCGAGGACTCTGAACATAGCTTGCGCTGCCCCAGATACGTCCATCATCGCCCTGACGCCCACATCTGCTAATAGTTAGCACTTGAAATTTGAGATGAAATACGGCTTACCGGTAGATCCCTTAGTCACGAGGACATCGTACTCTTCGGGAGATGGTGCGACTTCGCTTGTCTTGAATTTCTCGATCATTGGCTTGATATCTTCGTACGGATCCATCTCCATTTCATACTCTTCGGCCTCCCGAAAGTTGTCAGGCAGCGCATTTGAGGTGTATTCCTTGTTATTGTACACTGATGCATGAAGCTTCTGCCCCTTTTGCACCTCACGAGGGGCTGACCGATGGGGAGTCCTGGGAACGCATATTTAACGGGTCATTGAATGGATATCAATCGTGATCTATCGGAAGGCGCTCACCAGAATTGTGTGCTCTCTCGATTGATATATGAGAGACGCGTGATTGGCAAGTATTCAACTATGCGCCAGAACCAAGTCATCGATGGTGTCACCGTGTCCTTGTCCCACGTGCCTTTGAAGGCGTCCATTCGAAGACCGGCAGCCGTAGCTTCGTACATCATCCAACGCAGGGCCGGCCCAAAGTAATCGTGTTTATTGGTGTCCTTGTGAAGCCCCCCACTACAATTATTTCCAATCAATTATCAGTACAAGATACGGGATCATGATTTTTCTGCCAACATACATGTCGGAATGCCAGCCTGGAAACCAGACTTCTTTCACATCACCTTCGCTTTTTCCGGCGCCCAGTGGTCCTGCTCCACCGTTCGCATACTCTGGAAGGTACTTGACCCGAAGTTCGTCCAGCGCGAGAGCTTGACGGAACACACAAACATGCTGCATGCCTGTTGTAGTATTGGGAAGGGCCCTTTTTCGAACAAAGCCGACTGAAGATACTGTATCCCTGCGTGACCATATGCTCGTCAGAGTGTACCGGCACGATTTGAGTGAACATAGACCGACCAGGCTCCTACGAAGTGAACCTGGACATTATGCTTGGAGAAGATCTTCTTAAAACGCGCGCATGAGCCTGGGTAATCGTCCTCCTGGTCATCATCTCCTGGATTATCCGCATGCTTCGTGGTCGTTGGCAAACTTGTTTTGACTTCTCCGTCGGAGTGCTTCGGTCCCTGTGCATCATTATCCTTTCCATCTGTTTCATCTCGCCTGATCGTGACAGTGGCTTCAGTGTAAAGTCGATATGCGCTGATGTCCTCTTAGTGAGTTACTTGGCGGTGATGATCGTGGAATGGCATTCACTCACAACGCTATCTGCTCAATATTGCCCTTGTGGAGGAGGCCAACCTTGATCAACACACGGAATTGAATTATCAGAGCTCTGAATCAATATGAGAGCAACCTACCAGCCTGATCATCGCTGCAATCACACGAACCTGGTACGCACCCCGTGAGAAACCTGTTAAAAACAGTATTGCTTGTCAGAAGCCGAGTTCTCTTGGTAGGTAGGTAGGTAGGTATATTTTGGGTCACGTAATAACTTACCGAACAGAAATATCCGATCACCCGGCTTGTGATTCTCGCAAAGCCCATGGTAGGCGCCCAACACAATCTTTTTGAAGTTCCTGCGGTGACAACACTGCAAAATCAATGATAGCAACAATGAACCGAGGCGAGGAAAGCGGACAAAGCAACTGTGATGTCCATGAAACTACCGACGGCTTGCTTCCAACGCCCAACCGGGTTTGTTTTTTTCTTGGCGTACGTGCCAATCCCACTGTTGTAGTAGGTGAGTTGCGCTTCATCCTTATGAAGACGGCTGTAGAGTTCGATAACATTGGTGGTCTGTGCAATGTTTGTGCGTTGTAAGCGGCGAAGAGAGGATATTTACTGACTATAGTACCGAACTGATTGGCTGTACCGTCAATACAGACCACAAGGTTTCGTCCACCGGCTGGAGTAGTCCCGGCTGGAGTAGTCCCCGCTGGGGTAGTCGTCCTGGAACATCGACATGGCCGATTTCCGGTGGGAGATGTGCTCAAGGGTGGCAGTAGATCCTCGATATCCTGGGCCAAATCTTTGCTATCAGCGGATGTGACAGTATTCTGTTCCAGCGTAGGAGATGTCAGACATGAAGCGCCTGCTTGAGTTCCGACTGATTCATGCCCGCCGAGAAACGAATTGGACATGTTCAACCGAAGAGAGTGGATCGAGCGATGTGAGAGGTGAGGGGTGGGTATCAACCGAGGTTTAGCGTGCCATATTTGTAGGATGCTAATCACTCCGGTCACCCGCGCACTATTCACTTCGACAGTCCATACGTAGCTGGAGATAACACACGGTAACGGCCAGGCGTCAAAGGGAAATTAAACCCTGACAGGGCCTAGCGAGAAGATTGGGTCGTGCTGCATGTGTCACAAACATGGTAGAGATACCTAGAACCCATAGCCGCAAACGGATCCATACATCTCACGAAGGTGACTTTCGCACGAAAGACATCAACTGGGCGCCTGAATCATGGTTGAATCAGTATCGATCTGGTTGAGCTCGTGTGCTTGCTGAATTAACACACCAAAAGGCATGCGGAGGGTGCACAATTCGTTCAGTCTTGGTTTAATTCCGTATATTTAGTCACGGTTGAGTTTGCTGCGTGCTTGAAGCCTGGCAGAATCAAACGGCGGGCGCTATCGGATGTTCATACATACAAGTATATCGATGAGAGGACATGTCTACTTACGACTTCGATGCATTCAGTACGGGCAAGCTCCAAAGGCCATATGCTGCACATGCCGTGTTTCGGGTCAAATGCGGCCAAGAACATTCCAGAGTGGAGGTACAGGAGACATGCGATGTAGCCTATTAAACCTTGTTACGGCTGATAAGCACCAAGACTCACCGGCGGCAATCGGATCACCAAAACGGGGCACTTGGTACGAGCCTTGCGGTTGCACAGAACACTACACGTGTTGCAGGGTCGCCCACGTCGAGCGACCACCAGAGACCCAAGTGATTCAAGTGGGCCCGCAGCAGCAGTGCTTCACAAAATGTATGGTTGTACGACGAGCGAAGTAGTGCCTTGTCATTGGACCTTGGTCACCTCGCTCTTCCCGATCTTGATCCAGAGCGACTTGTTCGTGTGCATGTTCTTCGCGGCGTGCTGATCCAGCAGTTTGCCCGATATGAGCTCGTTGGCGGAAACGGGGGTAAGAATGTGCACGTCCGGTCCCTAACCGTCTGCCTCGCTTTTGGCGGTGGGCTACCACACATGCGCCTGCAGTGCGGGAAGCGACGCTATCGCCAGATTTGAGGGCTAAGAGCCGACAACAGGCGCAATTAATGACCCCGTAACGGTCACATCGGAGAACACCTGCCGCACCAACTCCTCATCTCTCTTCCTCCGCTCTCTATTCCCTCTCCTTCTCCGTTCCCACCTGGCGTTTTCATCTCCGGGCTACTATGTCGACCTCCAATCCCGGGCCGCCTGCGGCAAGCTCCTTGGTCGCGAACCTTGTCCCAGGCCCTGCGCGAGCGACTGCCCTGCAGCGTGTCGAAAACCATCTCGCACTTCGAATTTAACCTTCGGGATCTCGAGTTTTTATCGGATTGTCCCCTTCCCCAGTAGCTTCGCTAAGCAGTAAATCGCTTCCATCTCGTCCTCCTCTCACTGCGGCTCGAAGTTGCGCCAGGCGCAACGTTTGAAGGCGTCCGATGTTCTCGTCAGATCGATCTTGAATGTGATCACGGCTGAACATGAATGCTGTATGGCAGTGAGTTGATCGATTGGTGATGACGGAGTGCAGTATTTGAGGATACGCACCGTTAATGCAGAACCACTAGCCCTCGTCCTCGAGCATTTCCCCAAGAACTCTTGCCCTTGCTTGCGATTGATAGGATTCCCAGCGTAGCATTCCGAGATGTCTCTGCCATGCGAATGGTGCGAAACCCAAGGACAGGACGTTGTGGCCATTTCCTTATCGTTCTTCGTGCGTCTTGAGATATGCCAGATATAACTTGATTTAGATTGCAAGCGACATACCATTGTCTCTAAAATCGTGTGACATTCGCTGGTAGAGAGCGCGCGATAGCTTCTCGACGTAAACCATTTGCGAGCCTTTATCGGTAGGCCCTGGTCCAATCCACGTCGCCTCCTTTGTATGTTCACGATAGCCGCACGCTCAGCACCAGTCCCCGCTTGTATGGCGAAACTCACATCAGAATGCGTAGTGGAACATTTCGAGGATGGAGGTCAACCTACCTCAGCACCTCAGTTCACAGCTTCTTAACCTCCACTCAATGCGCAGTTGTCTTCCCTTCCGATTCAGATGGGTCGTCTCAACGCTCCCGCTATCAAGCATACGGCGCCGCCAATGCCGAGCCACATGACGGTCCGTGATCCCAAGCGCCCTCAACTAGCGGGCTAACATCTCAGGTCCTTCCGATCCCGCATCATCTTCGTTCCGCATTCCGCACCGCCCCGGCGCTATCTTCGCCATGTCGTGCTAAAGACGCGAGCTGAGCAACACCGGAACACAGGGAGGGTAAAGGTCGTCTGTACAATGAGCACGTGCAAGAGCGCATGGTGACCATTTGCTGGGCAGGATATGAGAGCGCGGACGAGACGGGAAGAGCCTAGCACTGATCGGGGTGCGCAGGGGAGGCGTCTGAAGGGTAATTGAGCGATTGAGATGAAGACTTGGGCTCAACGGGTAGGACCGGTTGCATAATGCGTCTGCTTGTAGGTGCGATGGATGATCGGTTGCAGATGGAGGAGGGGGGAGGCGCAGTCGGGATGGCCGGAGACCCACGGCGCCGTCGGCTAAATAGCTTATGGAGATGCGAGATCCATGGCGAAGGATATGCCTGAGCTACAGGAGGAATACGGCGAAGCTCGAAGGTTTTGGACAAGCTCGTCTCCCGATGCTTGAGGTCGATGACGAAAGGAATCGGTGCAGACTCTAGCGCGTCCCCGGCGGAGAATCTATGCTGCTGCATAACAGAACTACTAGGACGAAGCAAGGGGATATGCGAGCTGTATTCCACGGTTTGAAATGTACGAGGCCACCGAGATTGACTGGAATGGGTTATCGACATGTGATTGAGCACGAGACGACGCGATAGCAGTAGGGACACGGCAAAGCCATGCATCTGTTCTGCATGACAAGCCCGAGGGAAGTATGAACAAGGGTATAGAGGCTATGTGTGCGAGCTGGAAGAAGCGCGGCCCTTGTCAGCTGAGGAGGTAGTCCGGCTAGAAGAGCTGAGCATCTTGACGTTTTCTGTCATGTTATGGTTTACGCTGGCGACCATATGACGCTAGGATGTGCGTGGAAACGGCGGACGCCTGGAGCTACCCCCGGGAAGTCGGTATCAGATGCGAGGGTCAGACGACAAGAGAGTAACGATGATCGCACCGGTACCCCCACGGAGACCCACAGCCAATGCGTCACGGTTCCTCAGACTGCAGCTTCCCCTGCTATATAATTCGGGACTTCTAAAGGAGAAGACGCAAGAGCTGGAGCGAAGAGACGAGGCGGTGACCCAGGCAAAATCAGGTCAGGAGCAGGGGCCAGAGAAGGCGGCACATCATCGATGTCATCCGCTGAGCGCTGGGCGCCATCTGGGTCTCTTGAAGTTGAAGTGGGGGTACCGGCTGACCGTGACCCGGTAGACGCAAGGGCAAACCCCGAGGGCTCCTACAAATTGTTGACGTGGCACTGAGTTCCTCAGTGCGCCAACGCATGCGACGATATACTCGGCCGACCACCACTACACACGAAAGCCCTCGCTTCATACTTATGAGATCCAGGTAAGCCCAGTTCTTATGTGCTTAACGTGGTTTATACGCAATCCTGATCGACGGTGCTCTGGTGCACCCGAGCCCCCCTGCCTGTACATTTGCGAGGTCCCAGCAGGATCAACTGGAAAGGCTGGACAAAGCTGATGGGTCATGCGTCGGCGCCTATCATTGCCCCGAGTACTCCAACATCACCGAATCAGTTCAAAGATGCCGCAGTTCATCGGCCTCATATACTACGGTTCGCCCTATAGAACCGGACCGCAGATGAAAGTCGGCAATAGCAATATCCCTATGTAACGAGCATTTTGATCTATGATTCACAGTCACGTCAGCCACGTTCATCATGAAGTAGAGCGATGCGTACTCAGATACCAGCCTTAATTGCCTCTACATCCCACACCTTGACCTCGTCATCCTTTCCTGAGACTACACGTTTGCCATCGGGCATGAATGCGACGGAGCAGACCCGCCAATGTCCTCCATGCGTCCTCCACGGCCCTACCACGGTCGTTCCCGTATGCGCATCCCATATCCGGATAGTACCATCCTGCGAGCCAGAGACGATGCGGCTCCCGGTGGCATCCGGCGAGAATGCTACAGAGTACACCGTAGCGGCGTGCCCTCTCAAGGGCCCCAAAACCGTCTCACCCGTCTCCGCGTCCCAGACTCGAATGGTTTGGTCGCCTGAACCCGAGACGATGCGTTTGCCATCGGGTGAGTATGCAACTGCCCATACCCAGCTATCGTGACCTTCCAGCGGCTCTCGGACGATCCCGAGCGTCTCCGCGTCTAGTATGCGGACCTTCCTATCCCCCGATCCAGAGATGATGTACTTGCCGTCGGGGGCGAACGCGACGGAGAGTACCCCGCAGCCGATGGAGCATTTGCTGATGGACTGTCCTGTAATCACGTTCCAACCTCTGACTGTGCCGTCAAGGGAGCCCGACACTATTCGCTCGTCGTTGTGGGAGAACGCCACGGACCGCACCGAATTCAGGTGTCCGAGCAACGGCAGCCCTACTTGCAGCCCCGTCTCCATGTCCCATATCCGAACGGAATGGTCGTCCGAGCCCGAGGCTAGAAGTCTTCCATGGGGGGAGAATGCAATGGAGTTTATCTGATCCGTGTGGCCGACGAGTGGCCCGACTGTGGTTTCGCCTGTATATGAGCTCCAGATCCGTATTGTCTGGTCCGCGGAACCTGAGGCAATCCTTGAACCATCAGCGGAGACCGCGATAGAGTACACCGAGCCGGTATGGCCATGCAACTTCGCCGGTAATGCCAGCTGTGGCTCCACGCGTATTGAGACTGGAGATACAGTAGTGATAAGCACAAACGAAACAGTCAGCAATCAATCATACAGACCCTCAAGTTGCGTCAGAATGTGAGTTGCAGAAGGTCGTGCTGAGGGATCATCGTGCCAACATGCCTCGATCAAGGCCCAAACAGAATCCACTGGTCCTATTTCCGGACGGGATGGTCGTCCACCTCGCTGAACCTTCAGCAAGACTGCGTGGTCAACCCTTATGTTGCTGAAGGGAATCCCGCCATCGAAAATCTACAAGCCGTGTTAATCCTATGTCTCATGTTCATCGCAAGTGAATAGTTATGCCTCCCATGAAGTCATCCCAAACCCATACACGTCAGCCTCCTTGGTCAATCCCTTGCCCTCTCCTCGTTCATCTGTAAGTTCCGGGGCCAGATACCGCATGGTGCCTGCGCTAGAGGAAGCACTGGACGATACGGCGAGTGACTGCGTCGCAAAGGCCGTCACGGCTAGACCGAAATCGCTCAATCGTGCGCGATGGGCACTGTCCACAAGAACGTTGCGCTGGCGACTTTGTCAGTCGTTGCGTAGACGGATCCTGGCGAAGGCGACTCACGGGCTTCATATCACCGTGTACAACTTCACTGTCATGCATGTACTTCAACCCGCGGGCAATGTCGGTGATCTACAGGAAAACTCGTGAGCTTTGTCGCAGCACCTCGATGGGTTGGTCCAGACGAGCTGTGTCCGATTTGCTTGTGGAAAGCGTTTGAGGTAAGACATCACATCTTCGTACTCCATCCATTCCGAGACGATGCATGGTCGACGCCGATCGACCACCCCGAGGAACGGAACGATATTGCAATGTAAAAGCCGCCTCCAGATGACGACTTCCTGACTGAGCATCTGATACAGTCGCGCGTCGGTCAAGGCGCCGATTACTCGGCGGAGGATTGGTGTGTACGGACCTTGCGGAATCCTTCGCGGTTCCCAGTATGCAATCGAATGAACTTTAGCGCGACAGGCACCCCGTCATGGGTGCCCCGCCAGACATCTGCGAAGCCACCGGACGCATGCGGGTATTCATCGTCGGGTTTGACAACATCCGATAAACAACAGGATGTCGGTATGATTCCGCTCTTTCCGCACACAGACGTTAGCGCGCGCAACCCCCTTCGATAGGCTGGATCGGTCCGAGGCACGGAGTCAAGCAGCTGCAGGTATCACGATAAGGAGGGCAGGGGTGCAGACACACAGCTCGTAGCTCCTCACCTCGTCGAGGGCATCTATGCATTTCTGCAGAATTGAGGTTAGGTGCTCCGGAGTATCTTGTGTGTTGTCCATCAGGGGCTGATCGACAGAGAGCCGATGCAGAGGGGACGTGTGGCCGGTGAAACCGTATGTATGGATGACGCTCGATTGGACAAAACCGGAGGCAAACAAGAGAAGGTTTTGGATCGTGCGATAGCTGCACAAGTTGCGCTCCCAGGCTCGCGCGTTGCATTGAACTGCGAGGAGACTTTGACGAGCCCACGAGTAAGAGTCGCTTCTGCATGACACGAGTGCCCCGACGGCAATCCCATCCTCTCAATGACAATGCTGCATCATCACTATGGCGCGCATGATCACCGAACAGGCTTTCATCATTTATTTAGATTATTTGGACCAAGTCTATGGTGCCCGAACCCTCGTGCCCTCGCGACCTCGACCGTGTAGCAGCATGCGCGAGAACTCGGTCGCGCTCTGGAGGAGCGGGATGGCGGCGTACGTATTGGGACTTCGTTGAGGTGGCGAGAATAGGCCTGAGATATTCGCCATCTGCTCTTGCAGGATGAGGGTGGTCATTTCCGTCGATGGCGCCTCGATCGCGGCGGAGAAGGTCATCTAGACGCCGACGGTCGGTAGCGAGGCGCATGACGAGAGCGCGGGATGATTGCGGAGCGAGGGCACTCGAGTGAATGTTACGATGCCATGTCGCAGGTCACAGTGGGAATGCTGGTTTGGAGAGGCTTGATGGGTATGGCCTGAAGCGGACCAGACAGTTTGCGTCGATGAACCGGCGATACATAAAATGACACGATGTGGTATATGCTGGCACATATCGCGCCCAGCGTGTGCTTTTGAATCGCTTTGGTGGTTCATCCTCGGGGAATGGCGAGGATGTGGAGCTGCGTCTGGAGGTAGTTGGCATTGATAGTATCCCGTCGGTGGTCCACGAGCCGCACCACCGGGCTGGTGACCCGGTACAACGTTGCCTCTCTCGAGAAGCCTGGAAACGGCGTCTTTTGAGTGATTTGAAGAGAACGGGATCGTATAGGCGCGAAAGGGCGGATCTCGCTGGATGCAATGCAGAACGCGACCTCTCTCATCTACCGCCGGCCGACTTGTCGCCTTTGGTGATAGACCACGATCGAAGCCTGCACATGAGGCTTGTGGTAACATTGAAGCACCCATGGCAGACGACGCCGTTGCACGTAAGCCCTCTCATATGCTCTCAAGCGGACACAGTGACCCCTTCATTTCCGCCATTCGGTACGTAACCCAGGCATCCGTGTCCGATCTTCGCTTCCCCAAACGAAGCTTTGGCCGGACTGGTGGTACTGGGGCGTCACCAAACGTGGCTGCGTGCCATAGTCGGGTTGAGGTGAAAAATGCGGGCGATTCGGAGACAGGGAAGGAGGCGTTGCAACGGTTATGCGAGCTCGTTCGTGAGGTGGAGCTTGACGATGAAACCAAGTCGGAGGGCGAGGTATGGTGTAGAGCCGTGCGCTGAAGCTGTGAAAACGACCAGATTCAGCGACGAAGGACACGGGTCAACACGCCGGGATAAACCCCACCTGTCGAGGCCACTCCACCTTGTAGCGATCAGCCATCTTCCCGAGAGCCTTCGAATGCCTTGCGTGCAAGGGATGCATTGGAATCTGAAACTGTACAAGACGTTCGACACTAGAGTCATGAAGGCTTTGGGACCTCGAACTTGCCTCGAATTATCGACCAACTAGCCTTCCCGCTCTCGATGCTGCGATGCTCAGCGCACCGGAGCAGAGCAGGCGAGGCCGGCAGAAGCATCGTTGAAATCGGTCACCTCGGCGCATATACGGACCCAGCGCGATGTCGCTTCTATCGGCAAGGCCTGGAAATTCGTGACTCGTCAGCCAGTGGAAAGAAGACGCAGTTATGCACGCAAGGACGTACCTTGGTACGCGGACGTGGGTAGAATGCCGAACGCGACAGCCATCTTCTGCATGCAGACTGTGGAAACCTCGAAGACACCAAAGCGTAGAACCTCTTCTAACACCGAGATTCGTCTGCGATTTATCCGGCTCTGCGTCTCGGGGGCGCAACCCCTGTGTCCGTTCGCCGCCGTCGAACGTGGCCGCGTCAAAGCCGTGTGTTGCGCGGCCAACCGGGAGACGAATGAAGTGTAATTTTGGGCCTCGGGTACGCGGCCAGTGAACACGCGCAGTGCCCGGTAATGCAGAGCGCATTGGATGGTCCAATGCTCGAGCAAGGTAGCATTTATGTGGAGGGATTGGACGCCTGCTACCCTGAATGAAGCAGAGACGTGGACGGAAATGGAGTTGAAGCAATTACTGCGATATGGTGTTGCCGTCTCACGCTAAGGAGGCAGCTTGAGGAAGAAGGGGCGAACTGCTGGCATCCTGATGTGCTCTGAAGGGGATGCGGTCGGATCGGAAGCTGGGTATGCCGACCGTTCGTCCAGGATGTGTGTGCCCATCGGATACGCGGAGCTTACGAGACGTGAACATCGTGTCTCCACCCTTTTTTCATTGCTTGCTGCTGACGCGCCCGTCGTGATGGAGTGTGTGCGCACAGCCGCTTGCACGAGCGGGATGGAGTCGGCGCAGTGTACGAGGTTTGAATGCGCACCCTGATGGCGACATTTGCTGGCGGAGAACGGGTGCCGGGAGTTGGACCCGCAGCAGCTGCCCTAGCAGCGTCGAGAGCGTTGACCTGCCGGAATACGAGCGTGACAATCGCCTGGACAATGTCCAGCGCTTCGAGTTGTGTGGATCCATGGCTTGTTGGAGCGGGGAAAGGCCCGATTTGATGTGCATACTACATACGCATGTTCGTTACAGCTGCTAAAGGGGCCAAATAAGCGACGAGGGAAGCCGGACGAGATCAAAAGCCGCGACCTTTGGAGATCGGAGGAAATCCCTGGTATTGTAGTAAGCACTGAGCGTTATTCTTCAGGAGGGTCGCCAGCAAGCCCAGGAGCCCTGCGGATGAATGGGGCGCGGGACACCGTGCAGGAGAAGTCAGATCGAGACGGTTGGCGTTGACGTTACTTAAGAGCTGGCGTTTGAAGGGGAGGGGAAGGGAGGTTCATCGACGGAAAGTCCGAGACGAGGACAACAGGATCTATCCATGGCCATCCAGCGACCGAGAGCGGGAGTTGCGTGAACAGTCACGGCAAGCATCGGCAGGTCGGGAACAAAGACCGCTCGTCGAGCTCTCCAGACGCCGCGGCGGGTGACGTCAATCTCGGACCTCCGGCTGGTGTAACTCGCATCTTCCGTCTTGAGCAGTCTAGGTGCTCCCATCGTTAGCTGTTTCCCTCTCAAAAGATATCTTGACGTAGAGGGTGCTCTGTCGCAGAACGTCACACTTGGTGTCGAACTTGCCTGGAGTCGCCGGTCAACTGGCCTTCCCGCCCTCAATGCTACGACTCTTGCGAACACCAGAACACTTGGAGTTGGTTATGACACTACATCTGCCTTTTGCTCGATCTAAACTTCACTCTCGAGCGTCATACGTGCTCTCGTTGGTCCTATGAACACGGGAGTGCGACACACAAGCTCGATATAGACCAAAGTAAGCACGTTCCTTATGGGCTTCATCCTCTCTACGCCCGGTCGGCTTGCTCATCGTGGGCTGCAGGCACTCCTCGGCGACAATGCTCCGGCGCATTTCAACCTACGAAATCCCGAACCTCCGCTTTTTGCACATTTTGCGTTTTCCCCTACAAGCTTCAGGCCCAGCGCCAGGAAAGCCGGAGAAAGGCGACGGACTCTGCATCAGCACCTCGCGTTCCACAGAGTACGCACTGAGTCGTACCTTCCCGCTACCCTCGCCTCTTCCTCCACTATGTCCCGGGATCTGGCACACTCATCTTCCTCGTTCTACGCTGCGACAACAGTCATAGGGCATACCTTGCGCTGCCATCCGTTCTCCTTGAGGTAGGGCGCTTGATTAGTGGTCATGCACCTCGGCCGATGCAAGTTCACGGTCTATCGATTATCTCCCAACGCTAAATGAACATCGCTCATCTGATCGACGGTCGTGATGTGTGCCGTCGTTTGGACTGTGTGCTCTCTTCGCCTATGGACCACCCTGCGTATTTTGCTCACAACTTCTGTTGTCCCTCGTTCAATCACATAGTCACCGTCGCGGGTTAACCTCTCGCCCTGGACAATATTAAGCTGTAATCAACGGAACCTCGTTCAAAGCGAATCTCTACCGATGCATCGGTATGCAACTGGCCGTTGGATGGCCATACATGTGGTAGAAAACAACCCTGATCCGGGTCCTTATATAGGTACGCATCGTCCACCGGACGATCTCTGTAGACCAGGCTAATCTGCTATGCAGGATGTTCTCAGTTGTTCGTCTACGGGTTGCTCGGCGTACACGTCTCTGTTACGCATCCTACGTCTCCGAGTGATAGATCACGACGACACCCTGCGTCGAGTACATGAAAGATTCGTCAATACCGGGCACATGTTCGAACATTGAATAACACCCTCCACATATCGCTGGCAGGGTACGACAAAGCTTGCCATTATCGCCACTCCACCCTCGCTCAATCAGCCCAATGCGTGCAGCTTATTGGCATCGTAGGCCACACATCCAGCTGTGATGTAAACACCGTAGACAACTGCTCGCGATACATGTATATCACGAAAATCATTGTGCTCTATGACACCACGTCACGTCAGCCACCTCCACATGCAGCAGAGCGGGTGCGTACTCAAGCATTAGCCTCCATCGCTTCTACATCCCACACCTTCACAAGGTTGTCGTCGCCGCCAGAGACGACACATTTGCCATCGGGCATGAACGCGACAGACCGGACAACCGACCATCCTCCATGCGCCTGCCACGGCCCCACCACAGTCCTTCTCGTCTGCGCATCCCATATCCGGATCGTACCATCATCCGAGCCAGAGACGATGCGCCTCCCGATGGCATCCGGCGAGAATGCTACAGAGTAAACCGGATCGGTGTGCCCTCGCAAGGGACCCAAAACCGTCTCTCCCGTCTGCGCGTCCCAGACTCGGATTGAGTCGTCGAGCAAACCCGAGACGATGCGTTTGCCATCGGGTGAGTATGCCACTGCCAAAACCGGGTAACCGTGACCTTCCGGCGGCTCTCGGATCGTCCTGTGCGTCTCCGCGTCCCAAATGCGGACCTTTCCATCATCCGATCCGGAGACGATGTGCTTGCCGTCGGGTGAGAAGGCGACAGAGTTCACCTCGGAGTCGACGGTGGATTCGCCGATGGACTGCCTTGTGTTCACGTCCCAGATTTTGAGTGTGCGTCGGAGGAGCCCGAGACGATGCGCTCGCCA